CCTTACATATTCGTTATATAGTCTATAAAACTTGTACGAATATCTCTCAGAAGGCCCAGGGGTCAGCCAAGATTAACCTGGTACAAATGTATGGGAAAAGTCTGTTCCAGGCTCCAGTTGTCTTTTGCCGAAGCTCAAACTCTGGCACAGGGTCGGAAACGCTCTGTCTGACATGTCTACCTCCAACCCGAATGCAGAAGCGGCGATGGAAGATGAAGATGCGTGGCGTCTGGGGAACAGTTCAAACGCCAGAACGATGAAAAAAACTTCATAAAACGTTCTGCAGAATAAGTCGATTAAGCGAGCAGCGAAAATAGAGTCACATATTTATCCATCCCTAATTAACGAGCCCCATCTTATTATTCGTTTCTGTTTTGGCACGAAAACAATAAATGCTAACCCGACACTCTAAAATGCCTGCTCGCATCTCTCTTAGCCTCGCTTTTACGGAATAAACTTTGCCTTACAATTAAAGGTTCATACGTCCGTTATGAACGAATGAAGATTCGAGAATAGAAAAAATTTTTTTGTGGTCGAGTGAAGAGAATGAAGAAAGACCGATATAGGTCGTTAATTTAAGCAATTTCATTTTACCGGATTTTTACCTAGCAAGAGTACTAGGACCTTGAATTTAGAAGCGTAGAAAAAAATTTAATCAGACCGCATGAACTCGTTACAATCAAAATTACCATTCCATACTGGTATAGACAAACTATTTCGCAATTCAGTGCAAGCCAACTATGCATCAAGTGTGTCATATCAAGGTTTAAGCTACCACTATGCTTATGACTGCGCCATCTCATGCGAGTTTAAGTTTATGCCATGGTAATTAATTAAGTGTAGACTAATTCTCAGGCGGTTGAAATCACGGTTTGATCGTCTGAACTGAAAATTGGATGAGTTTTGACGGAATTGCAATCAAATTTCCGTTTATTGGCATGTCCGGTATCTTCCTGATCGGTAGCATTTACGTGGTTACGCACAGAGGCATTTTAAATGATGCTCGAATGTGCTATCGTTTGGCCCAACCCAGTGATGTGGTTCTGCATCCGATTAAGATCAGATACTCAAATAACATTTAATTGTAGCCTGTCTGCCTAATTCTTCAGACATAAGAACTGCGTGAATACACCGTTTAATCCGGTAAAATAAATGACTATTATTACAAGCGGAATTAACAAACTGCCATTTGCGGTAGTTACTCTTGAACATCGGTGTTATCATCGGTAATACAGACATCCGGAAGTGCCTTGGTGTGCAGCCTTTGCTTCTCCAGATTGAGAAGTCAGAGCTGCGATGGTTTGGGCATGTGTTGCGAATGCGTCCAGAAAGGAAGGCTAAGCAACTGTTCCTTGCAAATCCGACCGGCAG